GGAGGTCCCCATGAGGGGAATCATTCATTTTAGGGTGAAGACTTGGTTAGGGTAAGGGTAAAGGTTAGGATAAGTCTCCAGGAAATGCATGGGTTTGGTTAGGGTCAATGTAATGTCCCCTGAAGTGATGTATACATGGTGTGTGTGTGTGTGTGTGTGTGTGTGTGTGTGTGTGTGTGTGTGTGTGTGTGTGTGTGTGTGTGTGTGTGTGTGTGTGTGTGTGTGTGTGTGTGTGTGTGTGTGTGTGTGTGTGTGTGTGTGTGTGTTGCATTGTCTGTGTTGCATCAACCCTTTTTGAGTGACAGCTTGAAAGTGTTCAGATCTTACTGGAAAGTAAAGATCCATGTCTCTGTGATTTTATTTCAGAATCAGAATTCCTGTGTGAAAATCTCAACAGAAATTCCTGTGTTCATATATTCACAAGTGTGTGTGTAAACTGTTCTACTGTTCCTGTTTGGTTGACGGTAAGAACAGTTGTTCCATGTGCTCTGATGTAACCACAAACCTACTGCTCCTTCTTTTCTGTTTCTCTTTTGATACATTATTTGTCTTTTATCAACACTTCCTCACTCTTTTTTCTAGATCATTTCATTAGTTAGTATTCAACTCTCCTAACAACACAATGCCCAACACACATTAAAGTATTGATCCTAGCCAGAGGCAAAACAAGCGAACTACCGCGTCAACTTCACAAAACCAAACATGCTCGGTAAGAAGTTGGGTATTATCTCATGTAAGAATATCGAAATGAACAAATCATTCAAATCTGTTTATTATAAAGCTGCAAGGACTTTTTAACTAATTGATTAATGGAAAGATAATTGCCAACTACTTTGATTTTTTGTTAAAGTACATTTTCTATGCAAAAATGTGTAGAAAATTAAGTCTTAAATAAAAAAAATTAAAGAAATGTAAAGACATCGTATTGGAATTTTTTCACTATTTTCTGACATTTTATATTTCTGAAAATAATTGGGAAGGAAATAAATTGTTAGTTTTGGCTCTAATGTATTCATGAAGTATACACCTAAAAAGAAAATCTACTTTTAAGACTTCTCTTTTTATAATGGAGTAGTATAAAAGAAAATGTCTGCATATTTGTTTGTGCAATTCCTCTTAAAATGTTACCCAATGTGTTTACTTGTATATAATAAGTAGAAAACAGAAACCTGTGTGGATGGACTGTGAGAAGCAGGCTGAAGCTTGACCTAACCCAGACAGATGACTTTGCTTTAATAATGTGTTCGCTTAAGTCTCCAATCTCATCCTCCTGTCAGCAGCTGACAGACAACCTGAACACAATCACATCCTGTCCAAACATGAGGCCTTTTGTCCAGCCTTTTGTCCAGCCCACAGACAAAATAACCTCCTATAGAAACACCTGCTGTACAAGGCTGTTGTTACGCCTTATACAATACCTCTTTGTCCAGAAATAAAGGGAAGATCAAGAATTTAAACTCTTAATGTTTTGTCTCTTACAGCAATTTTATTTGTGCAAGCAGCCTTATGTCCATCAAATTATTTTGCAAATACCAATGCATTAATTCTGTAGGCTAAGTGATGCAGACTGAGTGATTCAGACAATGTGTTAAGATACTTTTCTCTATTTTGAATAAGAGAAAGATAATTTGAAAACACATAAAAAGAAGAGACATCCTATAACTAGATTATCTTCTTGAAAAATGTGATCTAAAAATCAATACTTGAAGCAATGCAAATATACTGTATTTCCTCTTCAACGTGCACATGTTGTGCTGTTTTGCAATATGTCTTAGTACAGTATGTGCATCCTCACAAATACATGCAAATTACTGCTCTGACCTTTTTTCATGGGCATGCATGTGTTGTTTCATTTCAATTCCATGATTTTGTGAACATTATTCCAACATTATACTATATTATCAGTTATCTATTAATACGAACAACACTGTAGCTGCAAACATGTGTAGACTAATCTTTGAGAACTACGAGAAACTGCATGGGATGGTCATTGTTTACTACTTTCTGGCATTTTTTATACTTGATTAATTGACAAAAATAAGTGACCGATTACTTATTTATTAAGTAAAAGCCCTAAGCAATACAGAAGCCTTACACACAAATATTAAATACAAACTTAAAGTGGACCTATCATGCTATATTTGAATAATATAGTGTAGGACCATGTATATAAGGCATGTTTATACTTTTTTTTTTTCAAAATAGCAAACAGATCATGCATTTTAGCCATGCCTCATTTCGCTCAATTTGAAAAAAAATTGATCTGTTTTTGCAAGGGCAGATTCAGTGAGAACAGCACCATCTACAGGCCTGGCATATGTACTACAGCGTCTCCAGCGCTTTCGAACGGCAATGGCCGTGGCTGTCTCCTCCTGATTGGTGGAGTTGGCCCAATAGCCGTAGCGCCACCGTCCTGACGTCAGGACAGTGTTCAAATCTGGATCAGTTTTTATCAGATCCGTTGCAGCCCCTTTTTTAGAGATTTGGGTATGGAGGAAAATAGAGAGGGTTGTGTTTTCTGACACTTGGTGAGTTCCCTGGAACACCGGGGACACATATTCATGTAGAAAAGACGTACAAAAGTGCATTTTGCATGATAGGTCCCCTTTAAGTGGCTATTAAGGCTGCTTTATCACAATGGATTCAATGATACAGGGGCAATGTAAAATGTGTGTGTGTGTGTGTGTGTGTGTGTGTGTGTGTGTGTGTGTGTGTGTGTGTGTGTGTGTGTGTGTGTGATTAAAGGTTCGCCTTAAAGCATCAGTTAAACCATGCAGCTCTTCATGGGTGTGTATTCGATCACAAACTGCCCTGTGGCACACACACACACACACACACACACACACACACACAC